TACCTGGCCACAGTATTAACCAGGGTAACACATCCTCATTCATCTCTGGAAGAGGTAGAAATTCGGGCTACTCCATGTTTATCTGCTGCCTGGAAGGGGGAGAATGGCCAGGAGCAGGAGTTTGTGCATTTTCTTTCACCTTGAAGTCATTAGAAGGCATAGGAAAACCAAGAGAAACACGTGAAGACCAGAGATGGGAGATCACCTGTTGGACCACGCCTGGGCTAGCGGGAGGGATGTGACCAGCGGGCCTCAGGTAGAAGGGAGAACAATGCTTTCATCAAAACGCTAGAAATGGAAGGAATAATGAGCATCCGGATCAGTCATCTTAGTCTAAGTTGTTATTGTAATAAACAATCCCCAAATCTCAGTGGCTTAAAACAACTAAGGTTTCTCCTTGTTTATGGTACATGCTCATGATAGATTGGCAGGGAACTCTGCTTATTAAGGAAATGCAGACCGGCCATCAGTCACCACCTGGAATGTTGCTGGTTCCTGTGCCAGAGGGAAGAGAGGGCTCTGCAGGGTGTCACTTTGGAGGTTCTGGCTTGGATGCAACAGATGTGACTTTCCTTTGTAACTCGTTGGCCAGAATTAATCACATGGCCCCACCCAATCCCAAGGGGGCCGGGAAGTACGATCTTACTCTGTGCCTAGAAGGCAGAAAATTGAAATTTATTTGGTGAACAGCACTAATGAATTTTATATTTTAACCTAGAAAAGCGTTAGTGCTAGAAGTCACACAGAATGACAGGGTGGAAAGAACCTCAGAGAGAAGCCGGTTTTAGTTCAGGATCAGCAAGGGCAGGCAGCAGAATGCCGTGAAGCGGGGTCCCCGTCTCCCTGCCCCTGCACTCCGTGGCAGCCTCGAATGCCCTGAGGTTTCATCTTCAGCAGGATTAGGAACTCTTTGGAATGTCTGCCCTACAATGGGTTAGACATTTGTTCACTTGTTTTTTGTCCCCTCAAAGTGTTGATTGTGTCTTTGGCTGGTCCTAGTTCTACCTGATGTCCATCAGAATTAAGTTTGTGGTTCCAAGGCATCTCAGCTGGTGGAAGATGCCGATGCAGAGGCCTCTGCAGTATTTTTTTTTTTTTTTTTTTTTGAGACAGAGTCTTGCTCTGTTGCCCAGGCCAGAGTGCAGTGGCACTGTCTCACCTCACTGCAAACTCCGCTTCCCGGCTTCAAGCAATTCTCCTGTTTTAGCCTCCTGAGTAGCTGGGATTAAAGGCTCCTGCCACCACATCTGGCTAATTTTTTGTATTTTTAGTAGAGACGGGGTTTGCACCATGTTGGCCAGGCTGGTCTTGAACTCCTGACCTCATGATCCGTCCGCCTCAGCCTCCCAAAATGCTGAGATTACAGGTGTGAACCACTATGCCCGGCAGCCTCTGCAGTACTTTGTGGTCTCTTCAGCCTGATTCTGACCAAGATGGAACCAGCAGCTTCCGAGCATTCTCCATGCTTTGCCTTCATTCCTCCTCAGAGCCTGTTACACACCTCTCCCATCTGCTCCTGGAGGGATACCTTTTCTGACCCCCCAGGTTGGGGTAGGTGACGCCTCTGTGCTCCCTCCCACAGCCCCCATGCTTCCTTCTGTAATAGCACATTGATGAGGACACTTGTCCCACCTGAAACACCTCCTTAATACTGAGCAAAGATGGGTGACCTCTGCAGTGTCAGGAACCCATACCCCAATGGACCTTTCTGCACGGTGGTTTATGACCTGACTCTGGAGGACCGCCAAGAAAGGGACAGAGAGCCTGAGGCTCATGAGACACATATGGATCTATAATGAAAAATTATGGGCCGGGTGCCGTGGCTCATGCCTGTAATCCCAGCACTTTGGGAGGCTGAGGTCAGCGGATCACTTGAGACCAGGAGTTTGGGACCAGCCTGGGCAACATGGCGAAATCATAACTCCACTAAAAACACAAAAATTAGCTGGGAGTGGTAGCACGTGCTTACAGGCTCAGCTATTCAGGAGGCTGAGGTGGGAGGATCACTTGAACCCAGGAGGCGGAGGTGGCAGTGAGCCGAGATTGTCCCACTGCACTCCAGCCTGGGAGACAGAGTGAGATCTGTTAAAACAAACAAACAAACAAACAAACAAAAAAAAACCTGGGCCAGGTGCGGTGGCTCCCTCCTGTAATACCAGCACTTTGGGAAGCCAAGGCAGGTAGATCACTTGAGGCCAGGAGTTCAAGACCAGCCTGGCCAACACAGTGAAACCCTGTCTCTACTAAAAATGCCAAAAGTTAACAGAGCATAGTGGCACACCCAACTACTCAGGAGGCTGAGGCAGGAGACTTGCTTGAGCCCTGGGAGGTAGAGGTTGCAGTGAGCCGAGATCGTGCCACTACACTCCAGCCTGGGCAACACAGTGAGACCCTGTCTCAAAAAAAAAAAAAAAATTATGGCAACTGCAGCCAGAAAATTTAATGACTGTACAGCCACGTAAGACTCTCAGAATGGCTTCTTGTCACATTCTTTGCTGAGAAAATGCAAGATTTCATTGCTCCTCCAATTGCTAGCAAGCCAGGAGTATGAAATTCAGGAGCTGGGGCAATTGGGAATTAGTGGCTACATTGCGACTGTGACCAGAATCATAAAAAACAAAGAACTAAGGAGTACGGAAAGATCCTAGGACAATAGTTTTCTAACTCTGGCATAAGAATGAACACTATGCAGCCTTTAAAAAAAAGAATGCAGATTTAGATGTTAGATAGGAAAAAACTCCCAAGTAAACAGACAAATGAAGGACATGAACAGAGTATACAGTGTGCTACCATGGATGTAAAAAACAAAACAGGTGGACTGGGTGCGGTGGCTCATGCTTGGAGTGCTAGCGCTTTTGGAGGCAGAGGCAGGCGGATGGCTTGAGCTCAGGAATTCAAGACCAGCCTGGCCAAGATGGTGAAAACCTGTCTCTACAAAAAATACAAACATGGGTCGGGGCGGTGGCATGGCTGTATGTGGAAAGTAGAAAGTTCCTTTTTAAAGTTTCTTTTCTTGTTAAAGAATAAATATGCTAGTAACTCTTTGTTAAGCCCCATCCTACGTAGCTGTTAGACATGCCATGCTTACAGGCACGTAGTACATTCTATGTCCTTGTACTTTAACCAAGATATCTGTGCTGGACGTGCTCACAGGTGTGTCCCAGCTCTCCATTGCTTTTATGTGTTTAGAAAAGTTTCAAGTTATTAGCTAATTGGGTTTTAGTTTAAACTGTGAAGTCTGGCTCCAGTCAATGGAGATCAGACACAGCAGTAAGGACGACCTCAAATGTGTAAGAGATAAATTTGTGTGTTTTCCATTGTTCTTTGCACTCTTGCAGCACGATGGCTAGTGAGGGTGCCCCTCCTTTAGTCCAGGAAGTAAAAATTGTGTTGCTGGAAGATCCTTTGTCTCAGTGCTAATTTTTCTTTGTGGCAACAAGCATCTATTTCTAACACTGTAGGTCCAGTTACTAGGGAGGCTGAGGTGATCAGTTGAGCCCGGGAATTCAAGACTAGCCCGGGCAACATGTGAAACCCCACCTCCACAAAGAAATACAGAAATTAGCCAGATGTGGTAGCATATGCCTGGTCCCAGCTACCCAGGAGGCTGAGATAGAAGGATCACCTGACACCAGGGGGTCAAGGCTGCAGTGAGTGATGGCAACACTGCACTCCAGCCTGCGAGAGACAGAGACCCTGTCTCAAAAAAGACTGTGGAAGGCGTTTTATATGTACGTTCAAATGTTAGTATTTGTAAGGATATACAAGCAACTTGTAGTTTCCTGGGAGGGCAACTGAGAAGCTGGGGAGTGAGAAAGGATCACTTTTGTTATTTATAAATATTACTCCTTAAAAGAAATCAACTACCCAATGCAATGTTGTATCCCAGAACAGAAAAAGGGCCGCAGTAGGGAACTGGTGAAATCAGAGTAAAGTCGAGTTGGTAGTGTTGTACCAATGCTAAATTTGTTTTGGCAAACGTACGAAATGCAGCTTTGGTGGTTGTCTCTCGGTTCATAATTCCACCCCACACATTTCCCCCTCCTGTGTGGAACGCACACAGAAAACCTTGAACGTCTTCCATTTTCTGTTTCCTGTGTCTAGTGTGCCTCTCATGCTCTTCCTGACCTTGGAAGCTGTACTCCTCTTTCAAGGCCAAGCTCACCAGTTGCTTGCTCTGGGAAGCTTTCCTAGACCTCCCCCTCAGTGTTCTCCTGGGACACGCTATCTTTGTTAGCGCTTGGGACACATGGTTTTCTTTTTTCTACCAACTAGGTTCCCCAGAAAGTAGACTCCAAGATGCAAACTACAAGCACATTTTTTAGGGATTAACACTTGTGGAAGAGAAGGAATGCAAAACTGGGAAGAGGGAGGAGGTGGGCTATGTGATGCAGTCCTAACAAAAGCCTCAGCAGACTCCACAAGGAGCTCAGAAGCAATGTCCCTCAAAATTGTCCCAAGTTGGGTAAGAGAAATAGAGACCTGAGATTTCCAGCCCATTAGTCACTAGATGCAGGTTACTCAGGAGAAAGGACATTAACTTTGGCTAAAGCAGCTCTCCTCTGAAAAGGCACTTCCCAGAGGGCCAGCAGCTGAAGGCTGTCTTCTCAGCAACACTTCTAGCAGCTGGGGAAAAATGCTTCATTCAGGAAGGACATCTACTGTATGTCGCTCCTCACCCTACAATTTTAATCGCTGTATGCCCAGTGCAAGGACCAGGAAACAACGTTCCAGTTGGAAACACTGCAAATACTTTGGCTCTCTGAAGGCAGAGGCCTGGACTACAGGATTACATGTGGTTACTTCCTACGCTAAGAACCAAGTGTGTTTTTCCCTCACCCAATTCCCAACAGCAGGCAGAGATAAAGCGTCCCTTTGATTAGAGGTTAAGAGCCTCAGAAACCTAAGACATTCACACTCCATTTGACAGAACAATCTGGGAGAAAGCAGATTTCATTCTTAAAGGAATAACTTTTCTTAATAACCTTTTAGATCTTTTGTCTTTTCAAGCAACTGAATACTTTTATTAACATGGTAAGTTTTTTTTTTTGTTTTTTTTTTAACATGGTAGGGTTTTGACCTCAAATATTTGTTAGGTCTGCTACTGAAATGAACTTATAGCTGGACAACGTCTGAACCTTGAAGATGCCTGTTCCAGTCCGGTTTAGGGTCCAATGCAGACAGTTCCATACTCTCATCCTCCAGCCCAAGGGCCTTTGCAAATCTTTCATTTTATGCCAAGTCCCCTAACACGCATCAGGGTATTACATCAACTTGTACAGAATATCAAGATCTCATCCTCTATTTTAGGTTCCATGTCAAATAAAGCTGAGTTAGGTTGCCCAAACACTCACCAGATAGATTACATCAGATAGTGTACCACATAAAATTGAAATTTTGAACAAAATACATCTCTCCTCCTTTGGTCTCACACAGAAATTAAAGTCTCCAAATACAGACAATACTATCCGTTCTCCAGCTCTTCTCCAGAACCGTGAGTCCCAGCCAGGTCGGCCCATCTGCACTCCCAGTCGAAGTCTGGTCCTTTCCTCAGTAGGTGCCGCATGGAGCCGTCTTCCAGAATGAATGCCGCTCCTTCAGCACCTCCAGAGCTGGAGAACTCCAACTGTGAGTCTCAGGCGCCACACACAGACCCAAAGTTCCAGGGAAGCTATCGGGTCACACAAGAAAGAGCAAAGCACCTCAAAAATTTAGAAATAACAACCAAAGCCCGGGAACAAATGTGACTGCTGCAAGAGCTTACAATCTAGGCCCTAATTCCTGCACGTGAGAGCATTTTCCAAACAAAATTACTTTCCAAACAAAAACACTGAACAATCAAAACTCATATTGAGGTCATTAACCACAGACCATAGCAGAAAACGTAGTGTTAAGTGAGACAGAGCGTAGACAGAGGAAAAAAGAGAAAACAAAAGGCTCTCTGGTTTCAGCTTCTCCAGGGTGTCAGCCAATCTCCACCAGTTGACCAGAATCCATTGGCTGCAAACCTAAAGCACAACGGGAAGAAATCCATCATCGACAGGTTAATCCCGGGCACAACGACCCCCAACCCTCACGAACGCCACCGCGCACGCAGCCGCCTCTTCGGGCCAGCACCTGACTCACTCCAGTCTCCAGCAACGTCGAAGTGTCCAACTCCTTCCCCGAAAACCCTCTCATTCCAAGCCCCGCTTGCCGGATGGCCCGGACCCGGTCCGTTTTTGTTTCCTCGGCGACTCTGAGATTTCAGACCCTCCCCTTGAACACGCATCACGCCCAAACCCCGCCACTCGGACTATCCCACGCCGCCACCGTCCAAAAACCAGCCACGAAGCCGCGGCCCGGCCCCGCCCCGCGCGCACCGTTACTCCCCCGCCCGCCCCGGACCCCGCGGCCTCCTGACACCGTCGCCCCCCAGCCCCTCGGCCCCGCGCGTGCCCGACTCACCGCCGACCGCGCTCACGACGACTCGCTCTTCTCTATCCGCCGGACCAGCTCCACCAGCATCTCTGCCATCTTCGCGATCTCCTTGGCCTTCTCCTCCGCCTTCTCGCACCGCTTGGCCGCCCGACCCTCGGCCGCGTCGCCCGGGCTCTGGAGGTGGTTGAGGGCGCTCTCCTCCGAGGCCTCCACCTGCGTTTTGATCTGGATGAGCATATTGTCCATCTCCCACAGCTTGCTGCGGTTCCGCAGGTACGCCCGCCCGTGCTCGCGCGTCAGCGACGCGATGTCCTCGCGCATCTCGTTGATGACCGGGAGCAGGAACTGCTCGAAATCCTCCTCGGGCTCCAGCACCTCCACCTCCTCCGGTTCCGCCAGCTCCACGATGTCCAGGGGCCGCATCTCCTCCCGCTGCCTCGGAGCCGCAGTAGCGATGTCTGCTGCAGAGAGAAAACCGACACTCGCTATGCTTAGCAACAGAAAGCCCGAATATGACGGAAAACTTTTATACCCTTTTTCAACTTTTCTCCTCAGAGAAGCTACGGAGAAGCGACTTACGAGCAGAATAGCGGCGAACAAAATGGAGTCCCAGCCGTCAACCAGCGCCCTGCGCGTTGCGGCTCCTTTCACGACACAGCGGAGCCTCTTTACGGTCGGGCGGCGAGTTGCCGGCGCGCGCACGTCTAGAAAAGGCGGTGCCCGGGGCGCCGTCACGGCCGCATGGACGCGCACGCAGGCACACGCGGGCAGGAGCGCGCACGATCTCGCTCATTCAGGTTTTCCCGTTATCTCCGTGCTTCACCCCAGTTCTACCCTGTTTTTGGAAGGAGGCTTCTTCCCGGTGTTCCCCTCCTAGAGGGCTTTTCGGGCACGCGAGTTTACATTTTTAAAAAAGGCTTCCCACACTTGCCGGGCGTGGTGTCTCACACCTGTTAGGAGTCAGAGGCAGGTGGATCTCTTGAGGTCAGGAGTTCCAGACCAGCCTGGCCAACATGGCGATACCCCGTCTCTACCAAAAATATACAAATTAGCCGGGCGTGGTGCTGCACGCCCGTAAACCCAGCTACTTGGGAGGCTGGGACAATCGTTTGAAAACGGGAGGCAGAGGTTGCAGTGAGCCCACATCACGCTGCTGCGCGCCATCGTGGGTAACAGAGCGAGACTCTGTCTCAATACAAATACATAAAATAAAAAATATAAATAAAATTTAAAAAGGGTCTTCCACACCGGAAGAGGAGGGTCTACGTGATAATGCAGCAACCCCAGGTGGTCGCTTAGGGCCCCTTCCCCTCATACAGGACGACCTAAGCCCCCTCAGCCGTTTTATTTACTTACTATTATTTTAAAAGATTTTTTTTTGAGGCAGGGTCTCGCTCTGTCGGCCAGGCGGGAGTGCAGTGGCGGGATCGTGGCTCACTGCAGCCGCGAACTCCTGGCCTCAAGTGATCCTTCCACTTTCGGCCTCCCAAAGTGCAGGGATTACACGCATAAGCAGCCGTGCCTGGCCCTCTCTGCCTTTTTAAAGAGTAGTTTTCCTTCTTCCTTGGATGACAAGTCAGAAGGGTCTGGGTGTCTATTCACCAAACCGACCTCCGCACACCCCAAGGTGGAGCCTGGCTGCTCCGTCGTGAGGCCCCAGCTGGCCCATGTCCAGTGTCCACAGCCTCTGCGCCTTCCACTGGATCCGGGGCTCTTGCGGATCTAACGCCCTGGGCAGAGCGTGGCACATAGTGGCAAATTTGCCTTAACAGCCACTCAACACAGAATGAGGAGAGATACGCTAATTTCCTAGCTTGTTGTCCCATTCCCAAACACCAGTCTACTTGTCAGAAATCCAGCTCGCATAAGTGCCATCTATTTTCCAGTTAAAGGGACACATCACAGTTTTGAATATAGCAGAATTAAGGATTCAGAGAAACGAAAGTATATGCTTTGTTTAGACTTTTCTCAGGTTCTTAATATTTTGGTTGTCCTTGTGAAAACCCAACTTTTGGGCTTACTTGTGTCAAAGGAAAATAAGTCTTGGGACCCTAAAATCACTAAGCCAAAGGGAAAAGTCAAGCTGGGAACTGCTTAGGGCCAACCTGCCCCCCGTTCTATTCCCGAAAAAGATGGCTACTAAGATTAAAAAGGGGCATACCTCCCTCACAATTTGTCCACAAGGAAATTCCTTGCGGACAAAGGACAGACAAAAACTCAGTCATCCTTCTGCTCACTGAGATAAATGCGCATCTGCCTGCTTCCTGTGGAAGGGCCAATGAGAAACTCAAAAGAATCTCTTACCTACCTATTAACTGGAAGCCAGAGCCCTGCTTCAAGTTGTCTGGCCTTTCCAGACCAAACCAATGTTCATCTTACATGTGTTGATTGATGTCTCATGTCTTCCTAAAATGTAAAAAGCAAGCTGCGCCCCAGCCACCTTAGGCACATGTTGTTAGGGCCTCCTGAGGCTGTGTCACGGGTGTATGTTCTTAACTTTGGCAAAATGAACTTTCTGTTTTTTAATTTTTATTATTTTTAAGATGAAATCTCACTCTGTCGCCAGGCTGTAGTGCAGTGGCGCGATCTTGGCTCACTGCAACCTCTGCCTCCTGGGTTCAAGCGATTCTCCTTCCTCAGCCTCCCGAGTAGCTGGGACTATAGGCGCATGCCACCATGCCGAGCTAATTTTTGTATTTTTAGTAGATTTGGTGTTTCACCATGTTGGCCAGGATGATCTCATTCTCTTGACTTTGAGATCCGCCCGCCTCAGTCTCCCAAAGTGCTGAGATTACAGGCGTGAGCCACCACGCCCAGCCAAAATAAACCTTCTTAATTGACTAATGCCTATGTTAGATATTTGGGGTTCACACTTGCTATATCAGCGACAACTAGCTCATACATTTTTTATATGAATAAAAATAAGTGACTCAAACAAAAATGTGATACTACTAAGCACCTATTAGAATAGTCAAATCCAGACTACAGCAACAGAACAAAAATCCACCTACAACACCAGGTGCTGTTGAGGATGTGGATCAACAGGAACTTTCGTTCCTTGCTCGTGGGAATGCAAAATTATACTGCCGTTTTGGAAGGCAGTTTGGTAGTTTCCTACAAAACTAAACCATATTCTTACAATAGGACCTAGCAATCGCACTCCTTGGTGTTTATCCAAATGAGTTGGAAACTTACGCTCACACAAAAACCTGCATTTGGATGTTTCTACCGGCTTCAATTGTAGTTGTCAAAACTTGGAATCCATCAAGATGTCCTTCCATAGGTGAGCGGATACGAAAGCTGTGGAACATCCAGACAGTGGAATATTAGTTAGCATTCAAAAGAAATGTGCTATCAAGCCATGAAAAGACATGGAGGAAACGTAAATGCATATTATTTAAGTGAAATAAGTTGATCTGGAAAGACTCCATCTTTTATAATTCCAACTCTGACATTCTAGGAAAGGTAAAACTTTGGAGATGGTCAAAAGATCAGTAGTCAGGTGGATTTGGAGGGGGTAAATAGGTGGGGCACAGGATTTTTAGGGCAGTGAAACTCCTCTGTATGATACCATAGTGAAGGACACATCATTTATACATTCATCCAAACCCATAGAATGCACAGCAGCGAGAGTGCGCCCTTATGTAAACTAAGGACTTTAGGTGATTAAGATGCCTTCATGTGGATGCATCAGTTGCAACAAACTTACCACTGTGTGGGAAATGTTGATGGGAACCCGGAGGGTTTGCAGGTTGAGGGGACAAAAGTTGTATGGGAGCTCTCTGTACTTTCTGCTGAACCCAAAACTGCTTTAAAGTCCATTTAAATGGGAGGAAATAAGCCCACCAAAAAACCAAATGGCTCCCAAAAGGTGGTTGAGTTCAAAAGCAGCGCCTCTGCCCACGCATGAGGCCAGATTGGGCCCCATTCCTCCTGGTGTTTTTGTGCAGGGAAGAAACACAGGGTGCAGAGCATACATTCGGGGTCTGAGCGCGGGTGCGTCTTTGTTTTCTATTTATTTCTTCTGAATTTCTTTTTCTTTGTTGTTTTTTGAGATGGAGTCTTGCTTCGTTGCCCGGCTAGAGTGCAGTGGCATGATCTTGGCTCACCACAACCTCCGCCCTCTGGGTTCAAGCAATTCTCCTGCCTCAGCCTCCTGAGTAGCTGGGACTAAAGGCACGCATCATCATGCCTGGCTAATTTTTTGTGTTTTCAGTAGAGACGGGGTTTCACTATGTTGGCTAGGCTGGTCTCGAACTCCTGACCTTGTGATCCGTCTGCCTGGGCCTCCCAGAGTGCTGGGATTACAGGCGTGAGTCACTTTTTTTTTTTTTTCTTTTTTGAGACGGAGTTTCCCTCTGTCGCCCAGGCTGGAGTGCAGTGGTGTGTGATCTTGGCTCACTGCAACCTCTGCCTCCCAGGTTCAAGCAGTTCTCCTGCTTCGGCCTCCTGTAGCTGGGATTACAGGCACCCGCCACTACCCCTGGCTAATTTTTGTAGTTTTAGTAGAGATGGGCTTTGCCATGTTGGCCAGGCTGGTCTTACACTCCTGCCCTCAAGCAGTCTGCCTGCCTTGGCCTTCCAAAGTGTTGGGATTACGGGCGTGAGCCGCCACACCCAGCCTCTTTTATTAATTTCTGTTCTTATCTTTATTATCTCCTTTCTGCTTTCTTTGATTTATTCTGTGTTCTTTTCAAAATTTGTTAGGTGAAACCCAACTCATGGTTTCTTTTTTTCTAAATGTAGCATTTAAGATCTTAAATTCCCGTCAAGCATGAGTTTAGCTGCACTGCACAACTTTTGATATTTGTATTTTCGTTATTTAGTTCTAAATGTACTTTTATTCCAATTATGACTTTTCGATCCATAAATTATTAGAGCTGTGTTTTGGCAAGGCGCAGTGGCTCATACCCGTAATCTCACACTTTGGGAGGCTAAGGGTGGCAGATCACAGGGGTTTGAGAGCAGTTTGGCCAACATGGCGAAACCCCATCTCTACTACAAATACAAAAATTAGCTGAGCGTGGTGATGGGCACCTGTAATCCCAGCTATGTGGGAGGCTGAGGCAGGAGAAATGCTTGAATGCAGGAGGCAGAGGTTGCGGTGAGCCGAGATTGCGCTGCAGCACTCCAGCCTGGGCAATGCAGTGAGACTCCATCTCAAAACAAAACAAAACAAAACACTGTGTTCCAAACAGTTCAACCACGTTAGAGCCGTTTATGCTCTTCTATTACTGATCTCTAACTTAATTATATTCTTCTTAAAGATGAAGTTCGCTTTGATAATAATTCTCTGAAATTTGTAAAAATTTCGGCCTGGGCAATTGCAGCACATTTTGCCAGTGTGCTTAAGAGGGAGCATTCTGTCCTGGCTGGGAGCAGGGCTTTATGCACGTCCATCGCTGCCCGCCTCCAATGTTGAAATCGCTTCCTGTTTTTGCCTCATTCCTCTGAAGTCTAATCTCTACATAGATTCCATTTCTTTGGTGCATTGCACAGTTTGTCCGGATTCATTTTTCTTTCTCTCGAGTAAGTTATTTAGAAATTTAGAAATTCTTTAGAAATTGTTGAAGCCAAAGATGCAGTTTTGCAAGGCAGTTTGACTGTGGGCAGCCCCAGGGAATCCTTGGCTGGAGCCTGAGAACGCATGCAGGTGCAAACAGAACCAGGCCGTTTTAGCTGATAAACGCTGCCATGAGGCAGAACTTGCTCTTCTCCAGGCTGGAAACTGGCGAACAGTTTGTCCTGGACCAAGTGAGGCAAGGCAGGGCCACATCGGGGAAGAATTGGAACGCCCAGTCCTAGGGCTCACCTGTAAATCTTGCAGAGTGGAGCAGCGAAGGGATTGTTTTGTTCTCTCTTAGGAGGGGTCGTGATGGCTGAGGGCCTAGTATGAGAGGCTGGGGGCACAGAGCGGCTTGTGATGATCCGTAGAGACAGCACAGCCCCTGGACATCTGAGAGGCCTCTGGGGAAGGATTGAAGCTGCATGCACATCTGTGGTCTTAGTGAGGAGGCAGAAGGTGGGACTCTGGAGACAGGGCTTGGACATCAGACCAGAATGACGACTAGCTATAACAGGGAAGAGGTAAAAGCACCTCTCCAGAACATGTACCCACTGGTGTGTCATGCCAGTTTACCATTGCCATGACAACACCCGGACGTTACTGCCACTTTCTGTGACA